AAATGCGGAAAATATAGCCTTGCAAAGTTCGCACATTTTGTGCACTTTTGTAGTATTGCGTGCGGAAATTGCTACCACATTTGGGCCGAAAATGGTAGCAATTTCCACACGCAATACAAAAGTATACAAAATTTGCGAACTTTGCAAGGCTATATTTTCCGCATTTTACAACATTTCGCAACCAAATTTTGCGATTTTACTAATTTTAGTATGCTCCTTCTAGCTGTGGCAATTTATTTGCATCTCCTTGCCTAGTTTTAAAATTAGTCTATAATGGGAATTGTCTATATTGGTGAGTGCGGTACTCGAATATTTGGGGGCCGTATTTCATGGTGAACATAGATATTACTAATGAACGATTTGAATGAGTAATGACGAAACTTACCTTTCATCATTTATCTGCAGTATTGCTGTGAGAATATCTATTCCGGTTCAGTTCTAAAGAACAGAAACATACATTTGTATGAGGATATATCCCCACTATAATCTTGAACAGTCGGTGGCAGTGTACGTAGTGTATAGATATCTTATATACACTAGATAGTGCATCTAATTATTCTGCAATTCAAAAATTGAAGCCGTGATTGCAGACTCAGGATATTACCATGAAATGAGAAGACTCGTATGTTTTCTATTTCTTAAACAGGGAACTTAAACCTGATTAAGTTAAACCTATTCCAAATATATTTTCAAACTATTCAAATGATGAAAGTTAGTGTTGTTTTTTAAGCGTTTATTAGCGAGTGGGAAACTTCAATATGGCCGCCATCTATTCAAATGGGGGTAACCGCTGGAATATTCTTGGCTTCAATTTTACTAAAAGAGATGCGCTATCTAGTCTTTATAAGATATCTATGAGGTAGTGCCAAGAAGAAAGTTTCAGAATTCAGATTGATAGGAATGCAACTACTTGAAAAATACAAGGAGAATTTCGACATTTCAAGCGAAGGCCCATATGGCGCTAAACTGAAATTTAGATAATGACTGGGGACGAGTCTGGCAAGCGCCTAGCTTTCACCTCTGAGTTCGTGGGTTCGATTCTGTAGTTGCCCAATAATGTGAAGAGTCAACGCTCTGTCGAAAGTGGTGGATTTTCCCGGGGGCTCTGGTTTCCTCCACAGGGAACGTTGACACTTTGCATTGTGCGCCCAAACCTGCCGTGGCGGCCATTTTAATCGGGCGGAATAATAGATGTTTCGGTTTTCAATCCATAATATATTACTACCATCCTATGGTTATACTTGTTCATTTTACTTTTTTTATACTAAAATTGCACCAAAGAAATGTTTATAATCGTCATTTGTTGCTATTTGTCACTTCCGAAGTTAAGATGTAAACAAATGCATTGTGGTTGACAATGACTCTTTAACTACTGTGTTTATCTTAACCCACTCTAATACTGCTGTAAAAGATAAAATAGTCTAGGCAAGTATGTAATCAGGTAATACTTAATGTAAAGTGCATTTGATCATATGCACATTTATAAATTTACGCTACAGAAATGCTAATCTTCTATAGGGTCGGACCTAAGTCAGTAGAGAGGTTAAGATACCACGGTTCCGGTTTACGGGTACGAGTATCGCCATTTGTTTACCAATTTTTGCTGATGTCAGCATTTTTACCCGTAATTTCTACCCCTTTCCCCGCGGTAAACCGTGGTCTACACGTAAACGACAAACGAGTACGGGTGTTTTCTATTTACTATTTGTGGGCCGTTGAAATAGTAAAAATTTCAATATATTACCCAATTAAATACTGCACATATACTTGTCAAAGTTTTCAACAATCTATGGCGAACCTTTCAATTTATCATGCATATTCAGTGTGTATAAGACACGAAAAGATAACACAGAAACCTATCACCTCTTTGCCCAGAAAGTTAACGCTTCTTCGGTCTGCTAGGTTGAAAAGCAGGGAAATAATAGCGTTGTACATTTCTGTAGCCTTAAGGCATGCGGCAACTGAGTAAGGGGGGGGGGGGGGGGGGGCTTCCCTGGAAAATGGCTTTAATCGCAGCCCATACCCTGGATTTTGGTCTCTAATCCCCCTGGATTTTCCAAGGCCTTTTTTACATACCCACCCTGGATTTCCCATTGTCCTCAACCCCCTATTTGTACTTTACACTAGATAGGTGTATTTTATAAACCACAATGTGGGAGTATCATCAGTGTTGCAACAAAGCGCTAATCAGCTGAGATCGGCCATTAGAAACCTTACGATTTAGGACGGCAACGCGATGGCAACGGCTACCAACACAATAAATCATCATAAAAGAATTGAATAATTACAATACATGAATAATTTTTATTTAGTCATTGTCCTCGCTCTGTTTACAACGCCAAATCACAGATTTTCATGTCTTGATACAACGGCTGCATTTCAAGCCGCAACACTAGTGCAACTTCAAAATGGGTTCAGCAGAATCCAATCCGCAACCATAAAACCCATGTCTTCAACTTCTAAGACTGTATTAAATTCACACGATTGATAACAAACGACGAATTATCTTTACTACCCTGATTTATTTGAGTTTGTTTTGGCCGTCATCGTCGCGTTGCCGTCCTAAAATCGTAAGGTCTCTAGTAAGCTGAATTGGACGCAGCTCAACCCGATCCAGTCGAAGGCTTGCTATAAGGTCGCCTCTGGTATGAGCACAACTTCGTACCCAGGGTATTTTGCTTCTGAGCGGAAGCAAAATGCCCTGGGTACGAGGCTGGTATGAGCACAGCTACACTGGAAGGGTCAGTTAGGGTCTTATCATATTATCCCAAGCTACCCCGTGGAAGGAAATCGAAGAACCGACAGACTATTTTCACATCAGTGTCATGAGTGCACAGCGAGAATCAAGTGTTCGGACGATTGAGCCAATTAGACCCCCTGAAACTCAAGTATTCGGGTCTGAGTTCAATTCTAACATACGACCTCTAATAATAAATTATTATCATCCGACACAGGAAGCACTCCACATCCTCCCCGCATCAATAAAATTGAAAACATCTCAATAACTAAACCCGCACCCCTTATTTTAAAACACTTTTTGGAAATTGACCACCACGTGGTGTCCTGTAATGCTATTCAAACCCACTATTATATTTACAACAAAATTAATTAACGAAAAAATTTCTTTGCACGGGTGCCGATTGAGAGATGATTATTGACAAAATAAGTAAGATATGTCAGCAGCTCTGGTCTGCTTGCAATATTAATTTACAGATGTACAACAGCTATGTTTTCGTTGTTGATTTTTCAGCGAAAATACCGCAAGAATATCCGAATATAATAGAGAAAAAATACCATGTTGGCTTTTCCCCAAAGCGAGTTGTATTCTGACGTTGTGTTTTAGATGCGAAGGTTTTTGCAGTATTTCGTTCCCTGTAAGCATGCGTAGACAACATAATCTGATTATACCAAGCTTTATTTGGGTCAAATAAACTATACGCATATATATCCAATTGATGGTTTAACCTGATGTCGCGTGGATTACATGCCAAGTATATATCTTGCTAGCAGAATTGATAAGCGACTGTGTAGGAGTGAAGGAATGGAGTACACGAAAAGCCTCGAGGCTAAAGATCTGGACGTGAAATGGAAGAAGACAAGGCTAGTGGCATTTGCCTCGTGTACAAAACCAAAACTTCAAGACACGGGCTCGGACATGGCTGAGCAAAGAGACGGATCTAATGCGCAGGAAAGCGACTTGGAGGGATCTAATGGTTGTTTGGATATAATTTCTAATAAGGCAGATCTCGAAGACGACGACGTGTTTATATGGGATCGACCGCGACGAGCCTCGGAGCCTGTGGTCTTAAAACGTAACGGTAATGCGTCGATGTTCCGCTCCGGTCGTCAAAGACAAAACAAGCTGAGAACTTTAAGCGAAGATGTCACTGTATCGGGAAACAGACCGCAACTGAGCAAGCTCGCACGATCAGCGTCTAGCTCCGGCACGCGGACTGCTTTTTCGCAATTCTTCACGTTCTCTCCAACGATTGTGAGGAAAATAAACCTGAGCGCTTCTTTACGAGATTGGCTTGAGAGCGAGAGACAATCGAGAAACAAAACGAGGAAAACTAGGGAAAAAAACATCGGATCCAATGATGAATGTTTACATCAGAATGTGGAAAAGTCAGATGGCGAGGAGTGTTATCCGTATAGAAGACGCTCAGCTGATACAGTGGGCAAGAAATCAAATATTGACGAGGGACGTCGACCATCGGCCCCGCCAGCTCTCTCTGGCAAGGAGAATGAAAACTGCAAACAAAAAAGCGTTCAAGCAAAACCTCATACAGCGCTTCTTTATAACGGTGACAATAAATTTGATAGCGTTCATGAATTTCAGATTCATACTTTGATAAACGAGGAATTAAAATCTAAACTAGAGTCTGTATGCTTTTGTGCACAGTCGTGTCGTAAATTGTGTGAAGAAATAAGCGAGGTTATCAAGGAAAGGATTCAAGACCTACTGAGCACTCCATGCAAAGTGGTTTGTACTGTTTACATTGGGGCATTACGCGATTACGGTATCCATACAGCGTCACAGGCAACACTGAACTATAAACTGGACTATCATGTATCGGCGTGTTATCAAAATGAGTCGTTATTTGCCGCGGTGTCTGTTTTAGTCGTGCGATATGGTGCTAGATAGAAATCGTCTGTAATCAAATTGTTTTTATTTTACTAATTAACAGCAAAAGCCGCGAAAATGTATGGGTTTCTGCCAACAACACGTCAATATGACGTCTGGGAGGGAGGGGGTTTGTAGGCATGACGTCTTTTTGTCCTGAAACATAAAACACTGAATTACGAAACAGTAAAAAAATAGTGTTGAAATTAAACTTAAAATTTGAAAAGCTCCGAATCTCACAAATTTTTCAGTGTAAACTTGAGCACAAGATTCTCTCTGTGTATCTAAAGCTAACATTCCCATAGCAGTATCCACGTTCTTATAAGAAACGTTTATGCCTGTGGGCTGACAGTGTACTTTAAAAACAATGCGGAATTTGAAGTTATGAAAATTATCTCAAAAATTATTCGCTATTAAGGCCTGACGTCTTGTGTAGGGAGGGAGGTGGTCTTGTAATTAGAGACGTCATATTTACGTCTTTTGGCAGAAACGTATATTTGACTTAAATTAATATCAAGGTATAAACAGTCAAGCACCTTGCCACTTTCTTCGATATTTTATCCACGACGCATTGTTTGCACTCGTGAACAATTTTAAGAGGAGATTTTTTTGTATGTTACGTAACACGCGCTCAAAACTAATGCGTATAATATATCGCTTTCATATTATTTTATATTCAAAATTTTTATTTTTCGATAGGTTTCTCAATCGGCAACCGAACTTAAAAAGTATGTTTAGTGCTTTATCTGTAAAATAATGCCAAAATGAAGAGATTTTAGATGATACGCCAAAGAGAAAATGATGTCTGAAGTTCAGTAAGTTTTGCTTATATGGCGTAAATATGGCGTCAATTTTAAAGCATCGTTGATAATTGTATTTTAATTGACAATTTTTAACTATTATTTTATGTTTCTCAACCGGCAGATGCATTTACTTGAGGTAGCTAACTCTATAAACTATAAAGAATAAAGCTAAAACAAACTAATTTTGAGAGGAACGCCAAAAAGATTTTAGGTTTTGAACACTTTTCATTGCAAATACGTGACATTGAAAAAAATTGCCTCTTAATGCGGTTTACACTGACCTCAACATGTGCATGCTACTGGACCAATACTAATAACTACTGTATTATATAATGAATGTACGCGGAGCTAGATTGCAATTTTTCCTGCGATTTCTGGTGTAATTTTCTTCTTCTGACGCATGTGAACGAAAATCGCCGCAAAAATTGCAAGTGTAAAAGAGCCTTAAAATGTTGGGGTTTGATGGTATAGAGAATTGGTTTAATAAACAAAAGTGATCAGTGTTTGTAGTTCGTTCTTTAAAAAATGTATCAACTCGCGCGTTTGTGGTGTCGTGATCACCACCGCACGCTTGCCTTCCAAGCTTGGGAGACCTGAGTTCAATCCTTGGATTGAGGAGAAAGAACTACCTTTAGATTGACATCAGTTAGTGGTTAGACTTTTGCGTCTTCTGGGATAAGGACGTTAAATCGTAGGTACCTCGCATCCCCTATCCATTGAAAAAAAACCTGTTGGGAATTCCGTTCATCATTGAGTGAGAAATTCAATAAACATTTTTTTTTAAAAATTTTACAATCTTTGTCAAATAAATGACAGGTTATACCCACAGAGCAGAACACTCCTTTACGAGTAACCTTAACTATTTATACAGAATACATATAAGTGATAATTATTAACAACATATGCACGATTTAACAGAGAGACTAGACAAAGGACGACATGAATGACATTTAACACAGATTGTTTTGAAAGTTTGTGGCACACCATGCAATGTCATAAATTTCTTCAGACATTTTCTGATAGTGATTAAAGAGATTACATTTAAATTGACTAATAGAGTGATTAGATTGACTTAAAACTGATGGTAAACAGTTAAATGTCCTTGAATTAGATCTGCAATAAAAACTGTTTTGACGGGGAATATGTAATGTAATTTGACGGGGAATATGTAATGTAATTTGAAACGGGGAATATGTAATGTAATTTGAGCTGTTTCACTGTTTTCCCTGGTCACAACAGGAATGTTGAAAACATGACGAGCATACCAGATATATCATGCACTCATGTCGTTGACAAAATCAAGAGTGGATGTTGCTAGCAAAATTTGGCGTGGAATTTTACTGTCAACACGTACCCAAAACTCCGTACATCAAATTAAAGAGCTTACGCAATCATATCTTAGGAAATTCAGTCCGTTTCCGACGCCGTGTTGGCGCAATTAATTCAGTCAAGGGTTTATTTGGGAGTTAAATTAAGGTTGGCGCAAAACATGCGCGCGACAGGAATTTGTAGGCGGGCGGGTGGCGAGAAAATTGTCCGCCTTTAAATACCTCACGCCCGCATTTCATAACTTTCCAATAAAAATCCCTTTGAAAGTCGAAGTCTCGTGGGATTATCCCCGCGCATTCCATGCGAGAATTTATGAGATACTTCATGTGGTATTGTTTCAAGCTCCTTTTAAGTCATAACATAAATAAAGCCGTCAGTAGCTGTATTTCTGCGTGCGCAGTACAGTCGTGTTTTTGAGATCAGTAGACCAAATTATGAAAATATGGCGGGGAATTTGAATATCAATTTCTAAAACAAAAACATGCTGATCAATTGCTCAAAAATTAGTAAAACAAACGAGAAAATATAGCAAATGGGTAGACTAGACATTAATTGAAAGCGTCCTGGCAGTATGGAATGAAATATGATTATGATTTAACGGACACGACTTCGAAAATTTTTGCAAAATTATTCAAAACAAAAATTCAAACTAAAAAGTTAAGAAAACTCTCGAAAAGTTAAGCTTCTTTACCCACTCAAATTGTAGAATAAATCCTAAAGTTTAATTATTGTGAACGGCGAAAATTTTTTATATTTGGCGACACAGTTTTTTTTAAAGAAATGTATCTCAAACGAAAATTCCGAAATTGTCGTTGCTTAGTTGATAAACAAAATGTTTCAGACGATAAATTTGTCAACAATTACCTTTAGTTCCTGTTCTAGTACAATACAATTTCTTGAACCTTCTGGCTGTATTTATTCCTAGTTTTTAGAATGACATGTTTATTTTTGCACTCGAAATCTGGCTGTAAAGACGCACAATGAAGTCACTCCTTTTTACCGCCATTTTGAGCCTTCGGAAACGTTCGGAACAGCTTCTCATCAAGTTCGCAATACTATTACAGGTAAGGTTGACGCATGCGCAGACGTTTTTCCACGGTGTTCAGTAGGCGACATTCGTAATTAAAAATAAGATTAGTTATATACATAAAACCTGCACTGTATTTGATAAAACAGCTGCAACGAACACACATTAAACATTAAGATGATTTTGTTTATATTGCATTGGCTCAGGTCATCTTCGGTAATTTGCATAACTGCTCTTTTTTTCAGTTTTTATAGTGAATTTTGTCCATTTCGTATCGAAATAAACTAAATGCATAACAATTCTAAAACCATGCATATAGATACATATATTCTCAACACATCAAATTCTATTACACGAATAGAGGTCTAAGTGTATTTAAAAAATAAGATTAAAAACAATTTTCAAATTCAGGGCAGATGTCAACATAACATTACATAGGCTGATAGTAAAACAGAGCTCTTGATATTTCGTATTGTGTATGGACAGAATAATTTGGCAATAAGTGCATCATCGGTGAAGAAAGCAATTAGTGTATTTTCCTACTTTTTTCATTATACGCGCACAAGCTGCCAGGTGGTAATATATATATTGATCTTAGGAATAAATATAACGAGTGTACGCCCCCTTATGAACTTTATTTCAAGTTAGATTCGACGTAAACCAATTCGTCGACCGCGCGCTATACGAATTAGCCGAACTGGCAAAACGTTTGGCCGAAAAAGCAACAGGACACTGCGTTATACGACAAAAGGAATTGAATCTGTTCATATAATAATATACGCGGAGTCATAGTTACGAAATTGCCGGCACGATGGGCTGCAACATGTCAATGGACAACTTATCGAAAATGAACAAGCAAGCAGTTGTTCATACGTTGAGCACAGACTTGAATTTAACGGACGAACAAAAGCAACTCATCAAAGATTCTTGGGAATTATTTGAACCGAAGAAGACGGCCATTGGCAGAAAAATGTTTGTCAAGTAAGTAATACACGAATAAATTTTCATGCTGTGCATTCATTTTATATAATATAAAAACATATAGGGTTTGGTACATATATAGCTTACTTCAAAAAGCGACAAAAAATATTAAATAAGAAATCCATTCGACTAAACTGCCAGTGGTATAGACTTTTGAAAACGGTTTCCAAATACTGGCTGTTAAAAGTTTAACAAGACTCTTTCAGACCGGCTAATAGGTTTAAGGTATTAAGTAAAGTAGTAATTTCCTTCACCCCAAGCCTAATCTTGCGGATACAATAATAATCAATGTTTCTTCATAGGTATTTCACCCAGTTGGGGGTCAAGTGTAAGTAGTATAGGAAAAAAGATGACTCTTCATGCGTTCAGGAAATTCGAGCAAACGCACATTTCTAATGACGCGCATGCAAGTACATTTGTTTTTACAGCTGAAAGGTTTATTAACACTATGGGAAATTACTTATTCTATATTACTCATACTACTTGAAAAAACACCAGATGCGCAAAATTTTAGAATATTCTCGATTTGTACCTGTAACATGAAACTAAATAAGTTCAATATCAAGGCAAGGGTGACTTGACTTTTAGCTAAGTGAACAAAATTACGTTTCTTTGACTTTGTAACGGTGTATGCAAGCTGTATTTACACACGTGCGATCGCGATTAAATAATTTCAAAACAGATAATATATTAGGATGAATATTTGTAGCAGATATAAAGGCAGTTACTACTATTACTAATTTAGTATGAAGTCTTGCCGAGATTAATTATAGGGTAAAAGGAAGAAAAATATGGTAATTCAATATGAGGCTTTGAAATTTTTATTGAATGCATGCAGTGCACGCACATTTCCGCGCTGATCACGTGCGATATATATAATATAGACGTGTTTATAGGCTAATATTGCTACCAATTTACAACTTTGGGAACACATTGGCCATTGCATGTTCTGTATGTATATAGCCGAACATAGAAATATTTCTAGAACAAAGTCAAAGGTACTAAGCATGCCATTTAAGGATATAATCTTATTATAATTATCCTTGTTTGTTGATGTATGTTCATACATGCCTTGTTACCGTATTGTTCTGTATGAGTATACACAGCCAAAGGCAACAAAGCATTAGATTATTATCTGATATATTTACCCTTGCAGTTTATAATGCTTCTTACGTGCCTTGTTATTGTTCTGCATGTGAACATTGTACTACTACAAAAGGTATAAGTGAAGAATGTAACAAAATTATAACAATGACTGTTCTGGTATAGGGGCAGATTCTAATAAGTATTAGTGTTCCGAAAATCCGCGGGGTACTCGTAAACGTAAATAGAGCAGCCTGCTGATGTTCTTAAAGTCATATGATATCAGGATACCCCCCTTCCCATGTGACATACTGATCTTTCCCTTGTCTATGCAGGTCAGCAAGTGGGCATCATGATCATAGTAATAATATTCATGCTCTTATATATCTGTCTATTACACCTCATTTTTGAAGGAGTGCGGTTTCTCAGTATGAATAGCGCGCGAAATCTAGTATGTCCTGTACGTGGCTTGGATTGCCAAAACAGAGTCAAATTCCTCTTCATTTTATATGGCTTATATTCACGACACGGGTAGCAATATATTAAACCTATATTTTCGTGCGTTGTATAAAGCGTTGCTATGGGAACGGAGTAAATAATCAGATGTCTTGTTGAAATGAACTACGAACCATATGTATGCCGGCCCTCTTAGATATATTCCATGTAGAAAATATGCAAATTTTATTTGAAGGAAGATTAGATTCTAAAAATCAGCGGACATTCAGACATAGTTTGGTTTGCAAATTGTGGCAAAATAGATTGCCAAAAATGTAAGAGAATTTTCTAAAACTAATTGTTCATGGCCCCCTTAATTGTTTCGGCGATCTATCAATTTCTTTCACAACACATATACATTAGCATTCTCAACAATATTTATTTTTTTTTGTAATAAACTCGTCTTATTAGTTATTCCATAAAACAATTATGACGCAGAAAAGTGTCGAATTATAAAACGACGCAAGGGAAACTCTTCACATATTTTCAAATAATAGCTCTATAAATATGACAAATAATTGAAGATTTTTATCTTCGATTCCCGTTCCGTAGAGCGGTATTTGGTAGTGTCAGAAAGATTAAAATCGGCGAAATAAGATTGTATTGTTTGGATGAATTGAAAAAACATTCATTATAAGCTTCAAAAGCAAAGTGAACAGATGTCCTCCTATATGTCTGCTCGATATGATACTCAATATGACCTGGAGTGCTCGGGTTATCGACTCACTGAGACACTAATTTTCGACTCACTACATGTCAGTGTATTCTTAAGACCGAAAATGCGGAATTAACTTGAACAATAGAATTGAAACACATAGAAAAGTTCGAGATGACGAGGAGCTGATCGCTCCAGTTGAATGGAAAATAAGTCATGATTTCATCTTTTTAGGCAAACCGGATCCAGTCTCTGGATCCAGTATCAACTGATTGGATTTTATTCATAACTTTTTAACGCTCATGTTTAGTACGCCCTATATAGTATAGTTACCTAGATCTTTTCCGGAGAATATTATCGAAAGACCTTATATATTTTTGGGCTGCTTGGGATCTCCCCTGCCCCAAATAATTCTGAGTCTATAACTGATCCACACGTCTAATCCAGGTTTCCAGGCGTCACTGTTGATGAATTCAGGAATTTCCAGAGTCATATCATACGACGGTAAACAATTGCAATCGAAAATAAAATTGTGTTTGAGAATAAAAACATGCACGACTCAATCAAGTAAATAAAGTTCATCAACAAGATGTAATAAAGCCAACACAGTCTTAATGAGAAGACAAAGAACTCACTTTCGTTCATAACCTCTTGTATACTTTTGTATAATTTTTAATCTATAGACATATTTGTATAATTTATAATTTATAATTTATAATCACTTTCAAAATGATTGCTTTCTACAACAAATACAAAATGAAAGTCGATTTCAAAAGTGTACACGCCAGCGAAATTTCATCGACTTTGCGATCATACAAAATATAATATTAGATTTTCATATGGTATTCTGTGCTTGCTATCTCTTCGGAAAAATGTCAACCCAAAATGACATGTGATGAGTAATTATTTTTACTCTCCCCAGACTATTTTGGCAAGCAATTCACGCGGTTGATGGAAACCGCGAAGCTGCGCCGGTTTCTAGTTCAATAGGCAATTCCAGCTTTTAATTTATGCGCGCAGGGGATGATGGGAAGTAAGGTATCATATTGCTGATTATGCTTAAAAATTTCAATAAAAACTGCCGAAACAACCGAAATATTTCAATATTTACAAGTATAAGCTATCACTCCATGATAATCAGCAATATGATACCTTACTTCCCATACCTGCAAGCATAAACTAAAAGCTGGAATTGCCACCGAATACACCGTATAAAATACAAAAAAATAAAAATTCATACATACGGTGTATAATAAATACATACGGTGTATTTATTGAATACACCGTATTCATAATGGCACACATGAAAAAAAGAGAACCCATGATTCATGGGCAAAAAAAACGTATGTAAACTTCGAGGTATATATTACTGTGTTAATTATAACAGAGGAGGGAACATTTCTGGTGAAGACAGATGTAATTTACGACAACTTTCATTTGTGAAGTATAATTGTATGCCAATACTAGTTTCTTGTCGGAGATTGAAAAGGCGTAGATAAATGAGGCAGGAAACCGTCACCTATGATTAGAAATGCATTAGGGTTTGAAGCGGGCAGCTGGCGAGCAGAGATTTGCCAAAGATAGCTCTCATGGCGAGTGAGAAAATATTGAAAATAATAAAGTAATTCTAAAGCCCTAAAATATCTCAGTGATCAAGCGTATCGAGTGTCCACATTAAACCTGGCCTCATATATGGCAATCCTTCCTCGCGGGCGGTACCCGCATACCTGCAGCTTTTTTGCAACTCTGCATGCCAGCATTGCCAGGAGTCTGGGATTTTATCCTGAGATCTCAGGATTTTTTGAAGCAGTTGGGATTTATTTGGGATTTTTAAAAAGTCAATCTCGGGATTTTTTTTTATTTTTGAGAAAGGGAAGTTCGAAATTTAGAAATCGATTTTTTGTGTAAAATTGACTATTAAACAATTTTGCTAAAAATCCATGGTTCGTCCGCTCGTATTTAAACCGTACTGAGCTGCATATTTGATGTCAAATTTCGTTTTCACAACATGACGTACGAAGCTTTCCTACCCGAAATTGGCGCGAAAACCACCCTAAATTATAATGACGCCAAAAAGTTGGAATATCGGGATTTTTTTAGGAAATCTCGGGATATTCTGGGAGTTTACTTGGGATTTTTACAAAATTACAGTTGGCAACGTTGAACGCTGCCAAAAATTTACCATTCATTATATTCGTCTTTCTATGTTTAGTTTGTTCCAAGTGTATCCCGAAATGCAGAACCTGTTTCCAGAGTTCCGAGGACAGGGCAATATAGATAAGTTGGAAGAGACGAAATTTCTCAACGGTCACGCAAAACGTCTGATGACGGCCGTTGAAAACAGCGTCAACTCCTTAAACGACTTCGAGTCGTGTTCAACTTATCTTCAAGAGTTAGGCAGAAGACACAAGATACGAAAATTAAAGCCACATTATTTGGAGGTAGGTTTCGTAATACATGGCTCTTTCTATGAAGAATTTACTATTATCTTTACAGGAAAAAATCTCATCTTGATCAACTTTCTAACTGTTGAAGTTGCCGGATATATTTGCTTAATAGTTCTTATCACGGCTTTGATAAACATTCAAAATGACATTTCAAAGTTGAATTAGTTTAGTTTGATTCCAGTATCAGTACAAAGTTCATTCAAGCGATCTTTTATGGTCAGGAAAAATTTCATGACAAGATTCATCCTGACTAGCCGGACTGGCTTCTGCTTATATGAACAGCCCCTTAGTAAAAACAACTTCTGATCCCTGAATTATACCTATTCCCTAATGAACAAAATTTTGATCTAGACAAGTCTAGACAAACATTTCAGCACACTTGAAAGAGCATCACAAAATTCGTAATATTCCGAAGTTTCGTTGCGAAATGTTGGAAAATGCGGATAATATAGCCTTGCGAAGTTTTCAGTTTTTCAGTCAGTCAGTATTACGCACGGGAAATTGATACCGCTTTCTGAAAAAAAGGTATCAATATCCCGTGCGTAATACAAAATGACTGAAAAACGGCAAACTTCGCAGGGCTATATTATCCGCATTTTACAACATTTCGCAACGAAACTTCGGAATATTACTAATTTTGTGATGCTCTTTCAAAGCCTTGTCTAGACTTGTCTAGATCAAAATTTTGTTCATTAGGGAATAGGTCCATTAGAATACATGCACCCTTCCGGAAAGTAAGTCATTTTAGTTATAGAGCCTCGTTTTCGTTTATGTAACAATAGTTAAAGCCCAGCGTTTCAATCACGGACACGAAGCTCTACTGATATACTACTTTCCAGTAGTCTATAACAACCTTCATACCTTGTGCACTTTTACTGCTGTGCCTCAATGGTATTCGTCGGTGAGCATAACGAGCCTCATCAAAATATCACCTAGAAATAAAAGTTCACGAGATTAGCAAATCAAACATAAACTTTTAAATTCAATGATTAACATAAACTTTAAGTTCAATTTTCTCACCTAATCATATAGAGGGCAAAATTACTCCGGAATATGATTGGCTAATGAAGAGGGCATTTTTTCTTAATTCAGCGCAAAATTACTTGTACCTGATTGGCTGAGACGCAAGCGCGGGAAGTTTCTTGTTTTAAATAGCAATAAAAACAATGGCTTCTCGCTTTGTCGTTGCGGATGTTACTGAAGAATTAAAAACTTCTAGTGAAAACTCGAACACTAGAAAAAGTACAAATTTATGGGTTGCAGTATTTAAGAAATGGGCAACATTAAGAACATCGGCGAAAACTTGGAAGACATAGGAGGTTCAAGAACTTAACAAGTTCACAATTAACTTACGAATAAATTTGCCCTCTACGAGTAACAAGTAATCGCACAGTTCCTCGTAAAATTAAGGTTTAATTTCACTTGTGTTTTCAAAGTTTCCGCACAAATTACAATTTGTGAAACTTGGAAAACACGCGTGAAATTAAACCTTAATCGTTTTACTCGGCCCCATGCGATTACCTATATAAATATCATTAATTTATTTTGAATTGTTAAAGAATAAGAATGTCTTATCAAGACGTTTCACAAGCCATTGCGGCTCAAGTTTGTATATCCGATACAAACTCGGCCACTCATGGTGTATATAGTACATATAAAAACTTTATACATGTATTATACTTTACAAACACTTTCAGAGAATGGGCGCCGCGATGATGTTGGCTTTTAAAGAACTGTATCCGGATTTATGGACGGAAGAGGCGGATGAAGCCTGGAACAACCTGTATAAGTACATCTCAAATATGATGACAACTGGATTGAATGCACCATAAAGAACAAGCTTGATTATTTATGCTTTTTACAAACGCTGGAATCGCAAACTCAGAACAGTCTTTTTATTTTTCAGTTATTCCGTAACGATCTCCGCCAGGCCCTAAGAGAGGTATCGTTTTCATCTCATCTTGTTCGCTTGTAATCATGCGCATGCGTAAAAATCTCACAGCTTGTCAACAAGATATGTTCGCATTGCTTGTTCCGGCCCTGTTGTTGACAAGTCTGGAACAAGTTGTTATCATCTTGTAACAAGGTTGACGAGGCCAACAAACTCGCAACAATTTGTTCCAACAAGTCTGATATCGTCCGCTGCACGTAACAAGTTGTTAACAAGTTAATGACAAAGATATCTTACATATATACACTAGATAGCGCATCTCTTTTAGTAAAATTGAAGCCAAGAATATTCCAGCGGTTACCCCCATTTGAATAGATGGCGGCCATGTTGGTCGTTCTCACTTGCTAATAAACGCTTAAAAACAACAATAACTTTGATCATTTGAATCGTTTAAAAATGTATTTGGAATAGGGTTAACTTAATGTTTAAGTTCCCTGTTTAAGAAATAGAAAAGATACGAATCTTCTCATTTTATGAGAACGACCTGAGACTGCAATCACGGCTTCAATTTTTAAATTGCAGAATAATTAGATGCACTATCTAGTGTATATAAGATATCTATGGTTAATAACAACAAGCTCGCAGCAACTTGTCATGACTGTATATCATATAGTCTTGTTGGAACAACTTGTGGCAAGTCTGTTATACCGTCGTCAACCTTGTAACAAGGTGATAACAACTTGTTCCAAACTTGTCACAACAACTGGGAACAAGCAGTGCGAACACATCCTGGTATCGACTTGACAACAACCTTCTAGCGTGTCCAACTTGTGCGTTTTTACGTGGTGTACAGCGGACAGAAGATGTTAGATGACAACATTTAATAAACAAAATTTTATTAAATTTACCAGTTGCTTTTACGCACTGTATAAAGCAAATGAGTGCATCAATGGATCATTTGCATTATAGACTAAATTTTGATCTAGACAAAAATTTCATCACAGCTTGAAAGAGCATCACAAAATTAGTAATATTCCGAAGTTTCGTCGCGAAATGTTGTAAAATGCGGATAATATAGCCTTGCGAAGTTTGCCGTTTTTCAGTCATTTTGTATTACGCGCACGGGAAATTGACAGCCCAATCGGGTGTGGGGGCATCAATTTCCCGTTTGTAATACAAAATGACTGAAAATTGCAAACTTCGCATGGCTATATTATCCGTATTTTACAACATTTCGCAACGAAACTTTGGACTATTACTAATTTTGTGATGCTCTTTCAAGCTGTGATGAAATTTTTGTCTAGATCAAAATTTAGTCTATAATGCAAATGGTCCATTTACATCTATACAAGTATAAAATATATCTCAAATGTTTTGTGAGATTAGATTGGGCAAGAATTACTTTTGATCATGATAAAGGATTTTTAAAGGCCGCTTTACATTACACAACTTTTGCCTAAAACTGTCGCATGCAACCTGCTTACAACTTGAGTTGTACTGTGTAAATCAAGCACACAACTCATCTACAACAACGTAAGTGATTTGTGTGCTTGATTTACACAGTATAACTCAAGTTGTAACCAGGTTGCATGCGACAGTTTTAGGCAAATTAAAGTTGTATTGTCTAAATTGGCCTAAGTTGCACAGAGCCACGCATGCGTTATTCTATGTTTTTAATGTTTTGCGCATAATAGGGTTAGGGTTAGGATTGAAAGATCAATATATATTCTTGCGCCAAATCTCTGGATTTTACCCTGGTTCTACTAAAATGCGATCAACGCTGGCGGAGATATGCAGTTTTATTGACGTGAATATTTAATTTTGATCGGAGAAAACTTCGTTGTTTTGAGCATTGATTGCCGAATCATTTATGCATACTAGAGTAGCCAAAAGTTTTTAGCAGGATTTTATCACACTTCTTGCAACAGGCAATGAATTGTGCAAAGGTTTACACAATGGGGCTATAGAGTATAGGCCTTGCCTGCCATTTTAGGTGACAAACCGCAGCGAAGCAGTGGATTTTAGTAAAATCACAGTACTGTTGTTCAGAAGTGCTATTTTGTTCACTTCATCCTTTGTCGCAGTCTGCCGCTCAAAAATGGCGAAAAAGGCCTGGTCGCATGGCGCGCGGCTGATAGTTTGAAAAATTGTAAATATAGGATTTGTTAATACTGGTCAATATTGTAGTAATTTAGCTGCATGAATCACCAGAAAATAATATATAGAATTCTGTGAGTATATTCGTTCAACATACAGAACCAATTAATATAACCGCAAATTTTGTGAACATAATTGATACATAGAATTCTGTGAATAAACTATATAGTCGTTCAACAAACAGAACCTATCTATCTATCTATACGGAATTCTATGAATACACTATATATAGTAATTCAAAATACATAACATAAAACTATATGTCTTGTGAACTGTAATAAGATGTAAATATAGATTACTTTATTGTATACTTCATGTAGTTTTCTTTTGTTTTGCGCATGAAAACAGAGTGCAATATCTGAGCGCACATCATGTTTCGCGGACTATATTTTTCTGTGATCTTGAATCCAATCACAACACTGACGCTCTATTGTGGGCGAAACACGAGGATATAACCGAGGTATTGCACTCGACTGTACGTTTGGAGATCAACAAAACCGTATCCGCACGGTACAAATATATATTCATTACCTCCACCAGGTGGTCAAGTGCCAGAAAGGTCACGTGCCAAAAAGGTCACGTGCCAGAAAGGTCGCATCAAATTTGACCACGTAAGGATGAGTGCATAAAAAGTGAGGAAAGTTTAAAAATTGCTATATAGTATAGGCTATAGCATGCACTGTTTTGGAGGATTATTCCATGACGATCGTGCTCAATGTCGTTGTTTAAACCATGCATCATAAAAATACTTTTTTTTAACTATCCATGGTCAAACTTACCTTAGATTTACCGAAACACTCGGAGATTAGGGCAACAATTAAAGTGAATGTTAGATAAAGGCGAGTGTTAAGATTAAGGTAAAGCTATCCTGAAGATGATCAAGGAGGATGCCAAGCAAAGAGCCCCAGGTTCTAGCATGCTGCGAGACTGACAATGTAGGTTATGTTAGGTGCAACATAGTGGTATGTTAGAGAGTAGAGCAAGTGTATCAAATGCATAGGGTGGACGCTCTCCAAATCCTCCACATATTTCACATAACTCTCCCATCCTCTACTAGTGGAACGGAAGTAACACACGACATGGCTACGGAGCTGTGTAATTCAAATTAGCGTAATCAGGCCACCTGTTTTGCGGGTAAAAATATTCAAATGTGTTGTTAAACATCGGTTTGCATTCACAAGGTTTATTTTGCTAAATGGAGTAGTGTGTTTATTGAGTGTTGTCCATTGAACAATCCTGCTACCATTGTATCTCGTGATTTGAAGAAAGTTAGAATAGTAAGTCGGTATATTTTAATATTGTTAACATTTTTTTGGTGGGGGACACTACACAGAACGCCAAGCTACAGTACATTTTAGATAATGCATATATATATAGCTCATAATTGCTACACTAATGTTCTCATTCTGTACGTAACACACAATTTGCACGTTTGCTAAATAAGCCTATTTTTCAATGGGGGTGGCAATATAGAAAAGTTTATTAGTGAATTGTATTGTACGGTTCTAAACTTTAATAATATTTGTTTTCGGGATCATATATGTGTTACTAAGCAGCCACAGAAATAGGTTGCAATCTGTTTGCCGCAAATAAGTGGAACTTTGGCTTTGCTAATAATACAATAATTGAAATAAGTGCGAGGGAGACTAAGCACGAAAGTCGGGTTCCTATGAAAACATTTTCCCGCAATCTATAGAATCATTCCCAGAAAAATCCAGATGTGGCCACATCAGAAAACATTGTTCGTTGCAACAAATATCATACTCGGTAAACGAAACGAAACAACATTCATTGTTCCGAAACAGTTTTTCTTCCTGGAAAGGGAACCAATCATATTTTACGCATCTTTGCCTTCAGTTTGGTGCTGAGGCGTTCGGATTCTAGCAGTGCGTTGTTTCAGTGGTTTGGGATTTTTTGGGACACCCTGTACAGTATACTGTGACTTTAATTAAAAGGTTTATGTTAGGAAGAGGAGGGGCACCATGCAATGGACTTTACGTCCAGTTTGTGCCTTGTCCGTTTGAGTACAGCACTTTTTAATTACATGTCTAGATGAATGTGTCGAGTTAATTTGTACTCAATGAAGTTTAACAAACCATAAAAAACCCGCAGTAATGTTTTCAAGAATGGACAAAGCCGGGACAAAGAGTTCACCTAAATTTTTTTTAGGAACAATGTTTTCTAATTTCTTTCCAAGTGCTTAAAATCCTTACCTATTATCTTCTTCTATTTCCTCTAGCCAGCAATAGCTAGCCATGGAAAGCAAAAAACAAAATTTCGACACCAGTATCATTCTTCCAACTTTAGAACGACTTGAAAACGACCCCACCGTCATCGGAGTCATGGTCGTCGGAAACGATGGCTATCCGATCCGAAGTTCTCTCGACAGTGCCACGACTATTAATTACCTCGAAAACTTCGGTTCCCTCATCGAACTGGCGCGGTACACGGTCCGGAACCTGGACCCGACTGATGAGCTTAATTTCCTACGCATGCGTACGAGCGACTACGAGATTATGATTGCACCAGAGAAGGAGTACTCGTTGCTTGTTCTTCAAAAAGGAAACGCTGGCAGTATTTCAAGACGCGATCGTCTCGGCAAATAACTGGACATTAAAATTTTACTGTAATTGAATAGATCACCAATGTAACATTCATATTTAAGTGCATTTTCTGACACATGATTCCTGTGATGGTGCAGCGCATTTTTTCTGTGCTTTTTCTGTGATCACAGTAGGAATTTTGCATTGGTAAATTCTAAGTTTTGAAGGAAACTGACTTAGGGCCTGTTTATATATGGAAGCCGGGCTGGCCCGCTTAGCGAGACAGCCCGGTATGCGGGATGAATTTCTCTTGTGTTTATATGAGAAAACTTCATCCAGCTTGCCGAGACACTTGTCATTTTGATATTGCTTTGACAGTAAGTTAAAAATAGCTTGCAGCGGTATCTTTGAACTTTCATCCCGGCAAACGGGCTAGCCGGCTCGTGAGTGTTTATATGGAGAAATTTCAAGCAAGATCTCGGCAACCGGGCCAGCCCGCTTGTCCATATAAACGCACGATAATTTTTACTATAAAAATAACTACACAGCGAGATCTCGCTTACCGGGCTGTCTTGCTTGGCGGGCCAGCCTGGCTTCCATATAAACAGGCCCTTAGTGTTAAACACGGAGACAGATCCCTCAAACATTTCTGGCAAACTATTTAAAACTTAGAATTTACCTATATGCAAAATTCCTACTGTGATCAAGGAAAATTTGATGGTGTAAACCAGTCTTTATAGAGACGTAAGTAGCAGAATGTGAATTCAGAGTAAAAACCTAACACAGTATTCTTAAGTTAACTCAAGACAGATTCGAACCTCCATATTGGGAAAGCACAATTTTTAATCATAGTCAATCGAGACCAATTTCAAAGTCTCTATAATGAGCTACAATTTTATGTTCACACGATTTCACCGTGCATAAATCTTGCTTATTATATTTCAGCATTACGGTTTAGTGAGAGATCATGCTACTGGATGATTGCGTTTCTTCATTATAAAACTATGACCGATAATCGGCATCGGGCCGATTTTTGCCTTACGGTAGACAATCGGAATCGGTAGAATTATCTATATTTTCGATTATTGTCTAAAACCGATTGTTAAGAAAGTACACACTTTAAAGGCATTTATTAAGAGTTTTAACGATCTTTGGTTGCAGTAACATGTTACGCTGGAAATTATTGTTAAAAAATCGACATGAATGACGTCACATTTCAGCTGATATTATGACGTCATTATAAAATCGGCATCGGTATCTGCCATGAATAATAGGTAATCGGTAATTTCAGATTGTTGCACAATCGGTCAATCACTACCAAAACCCCATTGTCTTCACCCTCACAGTTTTTGTATTACGACTTTTTTTGCGACCCGTATCTTTTACCGCGCGTTTTACTTTCGCGTCTTGTTGTAGGATGATTTATTCCCCGTATTTTCTAACGCGCAACTTTTGTTTCTGCATTTCCCGTAGTACGAAGCATATATCGGACGAACTTTTTATTTTTGTTTTTATTGTTTAGCGCGCTTTTGTTTGCACTTTTTAATTGCTGGAAGCTTTTAAGGCGCGGTTTGTATTTTGGATTTTTCATTGCACAAAGCCGTTATTTCCCATCTTTTTTTCGCGCGTCGCATTTTTGTACGAATCTTTTATTTCCCCGTACTTTTTAGCGTGCATTTGTTTTTCATTTTTGTACGAAGCTATTGCTCGTACTTTTGCTGGCAGACATCCTCTATTGCTTATATTCCCACAGGACTTTACTTTTCAAATATTAATTATTCAACATAGCTTTATCATGGGCTGTTTGACTACCTTTAAAGTCCAGACACGATTTTAAAGTCAAGAGGACCTTTATTTTGTATGTATAGAGAAGTCAATTTGTTCAGAATTCATTTTGTTTGGATTTAATACTAAAAAGCAAATACTACAAAAGCAAATACGAACCAAGTACATTTTGAAGAATTTCGCGTCTATCTGGAACAGTACTTTTCAGTCCCATTTTCAAGGCTTCATTACACATATATTTACTGCAACATCGTCGCCGCGCTTCATTTATGATATTACACAGCCCACACAGCGCCAAAAGTAACTATAATTAAGCCGGTTTTCCACTTCGAACGTACAGTAAAATAGCGTATTTGTTTGTTTCTACGGCACAAGGACAGAACTAGTGCCTTCAACACAAAAGAGAACGCATTGAAATGGAAAACTGGGTTTATAATCAACAAGTGCCAGGTTGTGTTCATAGTTTGTTGACAAATTGACAACCGTTTGTTACTAACAACCAGGACAAAGCTTGTCAGTTGTTACAAGCTGTTCTGACAACGTTTCAAAGCTGTTGCAATTCGACAAACTACCATCCTTGAAACACGTTGTTCACACCTTGTTTCACCATGTTAAGACAATTCAGGACAATACAGTCAACTGCGCACCCAAGTAACACGTTCTACATCGACATAAAATTGCACTGGAATCATAGCTGAGGCGGAATATTTAAGATATGCATATAAAAGTATTCAACTAATCATTATTCAAACACTATAAATAATGATTAATTATTTTAGAAAAATAATTAATCATTATTCATTATGCAAAAATTGCTCGAAGAATAATAAATTTCCGCACGATTGACTCACTTTAAATTAGAAAATATTATTCATGTGTAAAATCATTTACCAGATAAAATTTGTAATTATTACAAAAAACTATTTTACGACAGTTCTATTGTCGTTGTGTGTAAAACACACACGGATTATTGAACAATTTCATATGCATATTTGAAATATTCCGGTCTCAGATGCGTGTTATGATTCAAGTGTAATTTCATCTCGACGTAGAACGCGTTATTTGCGTGCGCAGTATGAATAGACCTTGAGCATAATAACGTCACAGGGCTTGATGCCCGCGAGGAGTGCTGGTCTTAGTAGTCATCGCCCGGGAAAATTAAACAATTCAAAATGGCCGCTGTCGAAATTTTCCCGGGAGATGACACTAAGACCAGCATTCCTCGCGGGCATCAAGCCTTGTGACGTCATTATGCATAAGGTCTATTGGCTTACTGTATTTCAGCGAACTTTTGGCGCATGTGCAGATCTCTGCTTCTCCGCTGTGGACGTTATACAACAACAAAAAAAGGAAATATTGAACAGCAAATGCAGGAGCACGTTCACTGAGTATTTGCGATGTATGAACTTAAATGTTAAATTTAAAACTTGAAATTTTTAGATATTTGTGTCAGGCCAACACAATGAAAACGAAAGGGTCCTTGTTCCCCGCGGTCACGGCTGCTTTGGCAGCCAGTCTACAACAAAACTAAAACTTTGTAAATTTCTAAGCAGAACTAAATCACTACCTAAGATATTCAAGCTTCGTCGAGTCTTGAAATTACACAACAAGGAGAGAAACATCGTCTACTTCGTCAATATAAGCCACAGCTTATTTTAGAATACCACCACCTAGAATAATAAACAGTAGTCAGAAAAACTTGCAGTACTGTAACAAGAAATTCTTGCTTCATTCACCATTAAGGCCCTTATTATATGGAGGCGAGTAACCCGGCTAATCGAATTGAAAAGCGCATAAGATCAAAGGCTTAGGCTCAGTAGTCTTTTTATAATGATATGCAGTTTTCAACTCGCTTAGCCAGGTAACTCGCCTCCATAAATCAGCCCTAAGTCTCCTCTCTAACTCACCCTTTAAACCCTTCTCGTTTTCCAACAAAGAAACACCTGTGTAATGATTAGATCATTGACCTACAAGGCTGGTCTACACTATCACTCTACTCATGTGTTGACAAAGAGTCAGTTCCAACAAACATTTCTTACAAATCCTTTAAAACTTAGAATTTACCTATGCAAAATTCCTACTGTGATCACAGAAACTTTGATAGTGTACACCGGCTTTACTCTATTGGGTTCCAACTAAATCCTCACCTCAAACAAGCCTCACCCTACCAATAAGCCTCCTCAAGCTGGACCCATACTATATAAATAAGTCCGGGGGGTGGGGGTGGGGTGACTTAATAGAGGATTAATAACTACATATGAAATATATATACTCATAATTATAGAAACTTACCAAATGGATGGTTTTATTGTGGAATTTCAGCATCTGGATTAGTAAGTATACTCCAGTCAGTTCCGATACAGAAACCAATTTTACGACGATGTTCTAAATGTTTGCGATCCTCGATATCCGCCCAACGGACCTGGAGTAAAACAAACACAGCAAGGTGAACATTATTGTCACAATTCCTTAACGAGAAAAATGAAAATGGAGCACTGGACCAACAAGGGGTGACCCTCACCCATTCTTTAGAAAGCACAATTAAACACGACTGATAGAGCCATTCAGTATCAACAGTCAAGGCCCATTTCCGCAGAAAGAAAAATTTTGTAAAATGTGATTGGCCGACACAAATTTTCCGTTTTGAAAAAATTTTGAAGTTGAAAATTTTCAACTTTTAACAATTATATTTTCGGAAAATTTTCTGTCCATGGAAAATTTTCTTCAGTGGAAATGGACCTTTACAGTTTCATTAAATTGTTGATACCATTCAGTATCAGCAGTTAGAGTTTCTCCCCAGAAACTGAACTGTGTGGGTTTTTTCTGTCAACTTTACTCATTTGTAATGACTTAATTTTTCTATATTATGATATATGTTACTACTTGCAGTGCAGTCAGGTATAAAACGGACTTAAAAAGGTGACAAAAGGGGGATTTAAGGTTTCCGACGCCATCTTGAATCTATTGTTTGCACCCCCTGCAAATTGACGTATAGGGAATTCCATTGTGTTTGAATCCCTTGCACTATTGTGTTTCATTATGGCGTCGGGAACCTTGAATGCCCATATTCAACTGACCCTTTTCTTCCCCAGTCTCATATCTTCTTCTCTCTCATCATACGGGTCATCGTCGAGATCCTCAGCCAGTGGAGAATCATGGGCTTTTCTCTTCGTACCACGTGGTCTGATACCATCAAGTTTATCTGAAAAGAAGTTCAAAATATAGCATTGATTAATTACCGAAGAGATCAGCCTATGGTAAATTCAAAACTCGATTTCAAGCTCCTATAGTGTAGAATGCTGTCGATGATAATATTTATTTCATCATTTACAGAACTAAGAGATCCCAAGGATTGTGTAAAGTTTCAAGACGTTTATTTTGCCTGCCGATAGTTTAGCAAATATAAAAGAAAAGTCATTCCGAAAAATGAATGCGCATACATCTTGTTCGGAATAATATTTATTCAATATTTGCAAATACGGCATGGAATGTGACTAATCATCAGAGACATTTGTACTCAAAGAGGTAGTAATACTAGTTACTATCAATTTATGTGTAATTTTTTGGTCTATGTCTGTACTGTATATCCATCTAAAATTTGTATAACAAAACGTTCTCAGGCTGGCCTGAGTTGCTGGCCCTGTGTATCACCAAGACACAATTTGCATCGCACATCTTTCGACATATACGACTAATAAATTAAATCTTACCTAGTGTTTTCTCGTTGACATCCGTGTCATTCCAGCGACTCTTGAAGAGGGAGTCTTCCTGCTACAACATGGAATCGTTAGTCTGTACTTCCTCAAGAAATAACACTCAAACACGAAACACTTTCGTTCTCCACGGATCAACACGTTTAGAATTTAAATACAAAGATTCCCCACGTTTTCAGGGAGACTTTGCCTTTGTTTGAACAAGAACGTATAGTTTCCATTGTTGCTTTGCAAAGAAAACATTATACGTTTTGTTGTTCATTTAAAGGTATACCACTAAGCTTGTACGCTTTGCTTATTTTCACGTATATTTTAGCAGCTGCAAGCGAGTTTTGATGGTTATAGGTTTCAGTATTAGCGGGGTTAAATATACGAGTGAAGAATAGCCCTTCATGTAACTATATTAATCATTATACCCCCGTATCCCCTTCCTTTATATCCCTGTATACCACCTGCTTTATACCCCTGCTTACACACTATACCTTCATATCCCTAGCAATCCCGGACATATATTTCTACAAACGGTTACCTCTACCTCAAGTCCAGCTTCTTCTGCGTCTTGCTCTTCGTCAGCTTCCCCGTCCCCTTCTTTACTTGCGTCAGGTTCCTCCACCGCTTCCATTTCAACCTGGAAGAAATGTTAGGATGTTGAATACACAGACAAAAACCCAGGGCAGGAAAAAATAATTTTCTTCCTGGGAGCACAGCCTGAAGACAAAAAGTTCCTGCAGACCAACAGAGTATTTTTGTGCTAAATCTCATGTGCATAAACATATTCTAGCTGACCATGGTTTTAAATTCAAGGAATAATGTCTGTCAACCATATGTTGTTGCGCCCATAGACATGGGTGTTAGGTTTCCTTCAAATTTTGCAATAGCAAATCTTCATTCAAACGAATTCCTGCAGCTGTTTAACATTTCCTGCGAGCAGTGCTCGCGTGTTCGCCTATTTTTTTCCACCCCAACTGGAAACCTGCGCACACTTCGCACAAATATTTGCAGTTGTTCACAGTTGTCAGAAAAAGGGATGACAGGATTTTTGAACCTCGTCGACCTTCAAAGGTCATGGTTGAATACCGTTGTAGCAATATTGTAACATGTAAAAACTTGTCGGCGAACTAAGATCAGAAGTGTGTGTGGTTAACAAATTATTTTACCAACCTCAGTAATGGCAGCATCTTGCAATAAAGAGCGTACATCCAATCTAATATAGTGAGCTGGCGTCTCTTCCCAAGTCTCTAACATCTAACATAAACAATAACAAATAACAGCGACGTTATATACAGTCCAAGGCGAATAGGGTAGTTTCTATATACAGTAGCTAGCATTCCACGTCTAAAAAGCAAAATCAAACGGGACATACTTTGTTAATATCTTCAAGAGATCTGTCATGGGGGTTTCTTTTCGCACAGTCATTGGCATCGGCAGTCATCTCTGCAATATATACCTACAATAAAAGAGAATATAGTTTTATACCAAAACATCTTAGAAAAGGGGTTGACGGAGCCGCGCATCGCATTCCCAGATGTCTGAAATTTCTGGCGGAAATCTTTATTTCCACCGAGGCCGGGTAATCCTTTAACCCAAGGTGGATTTCCACTTACAGAGAAATATTTCGCTTGATTTCTTTTGAATTGTGACCATCAGAATACATTAGTTCTACTTGACACAATTCAAAAGAAATTGAGCGAAAAAATTCGACTGCGAAATTTTTCTTGCAAGTGGAAATCCAGCTTTAGGACATACCTCAAAACATGAGAGATTGATCTCTGTAAGGTCGAGTTTCAATCGTTTGAACGGGCTTTAGCCTTAGTCTCGGGTTAGTGCTGATGCATATATGTAAGAAATAACTATACCTCAAATCCTTTCTGTTTAGCAATACTCCAGAAATGATCAAAATGATCAACTTTATCGTTAACGCAATCCAGAATAACCATTGGAAAGAAGCCATCATCCAATGTCTTATTGAATGATTTGAACAAACTTTTACGATAACTCTCTTCCAATTCTTCCTCATATACATACTCTGTTCCCTGTAAAATGAACGACCAATCATTTAGAATAGTGGAAGCTAGTGTAGGTAGCGAGGAACCAAACTGCAAGCACCAGGGCTTTCGCTCCTTCGAAAGTTCTTTTTGTATTTTTCAGGTGGTTCAATCTTCTACAGTGCTCGCAGGAGGAATAATTTAGCATCTCGAACGCACGGCTCGAAATAGCGGGCTACCAATGGCCAAAAGCAGGCCATATTTTAGAAATAGCAGGCAAAAACAAATTTGAACTGCCAAGTCAAAAACAAATAGCAGGTAAAATTCTATAGATATATTTCATTTCATTTGCTTACCACAACTCATACATACTAGATCATTTAGTTGAATACATACGGTTATATTTAAAATAGAAAAGTTTAAAAATCATAAAAATGCATATCATGCAAACATTGATTTTTATAATACGACTCATATGAGTAACGATCAACACGTATAGACGCAATACTGCATGTATTCTGTTCGTATGTTACCTTCACTTCAACTTTCTTCCCAGTTTCTGGATCTTCTTCCTGTTTGCTCGTTTCTTGCAAGAAATAATCATCCAAACTAAGAATACGAGGGGCGTGGGCTCCGCATGCCACTTCTTTGTCCTACAATGATTAAACAAACATCAGAGACGTAAATACGTATGTGCTGTAAGTATGTTCAAGAGACAAACGTATCGAAAGGTGTCCTCCATAAAACTCGACACTAGGGTGATAACCTCAAAGCTTAAAATTAGTATGTTTTTTTATGCAGTTTGAAAACAGCGTTCCATAGTACACACCTTGATAAGTCTTGCGATGTGAGTCTTTCCACTTCCTGGCACACCACGGAATATAAACACAATCTAAAATTAATACCAAAGTCAACATATGAGTCTTAAACGATCTAAAGGTCCTAAAACGACCGTAAAGGCTGCTTGACACTATCTAGTTGCTGTGATGTTTGAAGGAATTGTGTTAAACATTGATAGTGTAAGCCAAGCCTTAATGGAGAAAGTCTTACCCTCTCTGGCCTCGTATCTCTTCCAGGAGCCTCAAGTAGGTCACTAATAGCCACGATCTCAGCCTTTGGTTTAGGAGGCGGGACTGGTTCCGGGGGGTAATCCCTCTCATCATATCTATCCGGGGGATGCCGTCTTCTTTCTCGTTCTTCCTCCCTCCAGCCATGTTTATAATCAATAGATTGCGACTGTAACAATGCCTCGCGCCCGGTAAGGACGGCTGAAGCAGGATCACGATTCGCACCGTGTCGGTAGTCACGTGGTCTTGCGTCGGGATATAGGTCGTCGTAACGATCTCGTCCGATGTCACGTCGTCGGTCCAAGTCGTCGAAACGATCGTACGGTCGTTCTCTGTCGTACGCTGGGTCTTGTCGGTAGTAAGGGTCGTCATATGGTTCTAAGGGGAAAAGTGGAGTGAATGTGGAAAAATTTCGCAGTTTTTGAGTGAAGTCATTCAACCGACAGACACACAAACAAACAAACAAACAAACAAACAAACAAACAAACAAACAAACAAACAAACAAACAAACAAACAAACAAACAAACAAACAAACAAACAAACAAACAAACATTCAACCGACAGACAGACACACAAACAAACAAACAAACAAACAAACAAACAAACAAACAAACAAACAAAACAAACAAACAAACAAACAAACAAACAAACAAACAAACAAACAAACAAACAAACAAACAAACAAACAAACAAACAAACAA